CTGGGACTCACTGATGAGGAGCTTTCCGTTGTTTTCGTCGACGACGACCTTTTCGCCCCACGGGCTCGTCTTCTGGAAGATGGCGCCGCGCTCACGAAGGCGGGACTCGACGAGCCAGGGGACGGCCTTTGTGAGGCCGGCCTGCTCCTCTTCCTCGTCGGTGAAGCAGGTAATCTTGCGGTCCTTTACCAGGTAGGAGCCGTCGGAGAGTTTGACGTCGGTAAAGACGGCGGGGGCGTGGCAGACGGCCGAGGTGGGTTTGCCGGACTCGTAGAACTTCTGGATGAGGTCCTTGCTCGTCTCGTCGAGGGGCAGGTCGAAGCAAGGTCCGTGGCCGCCCGGGTAGAAGATGGCGTCGAACTCGTCGGCCTTTCCCGCGAGCGTCGAGAGCTGCAGCGTGTTTGAGACCCACTGCTGCGCCTCGGTGTCGTTGAGGAACTTGACCGAGTCGGCATCGCCCTTGAAGGCCTCGACCGACGACTGGTCCAGCGGCGCCTTGCCGCCCGCCGGCGAGGCGGCCACCAGGTCGAAGCCGGCCTGCTTGAAGATGTAGTACGGGTGGGCGATCTCGGGCAGGCTGCGAAGGGGGCAAGGGCAGAAAAGACGGCGTCAGGACGGAGGTGTCTCTCGGAAAAAAAAATAGAGAGAGAAAGAGAGGGAGGGAGGGCCTGTCGTCGATCGTAAACGCCGAACGAGGCGAGACTCACTAGTATCCGGTCGGGTGGTCGTTGCCAATGAGCTTGGTGTGCGACGTGAAGACGACGAGGACCTTCTTCTGTGCGGCCATGTTGGGCGGATGGGGGGGGGTGGGTGGAGTGTGAAGTAGAGTGAGTGGGTCGGGTCGCGATGGGATGCTGAGGTATGGATGCGTGGTGGAGAACGAGGAGGTGATGGCTGGGTGGCTGCGTACTTATACCTCTTGCCTCCCCTCTGTCGATCCGTGCGCGACCCGCTGCGCCAGCCGAAGAAGAAGGCTGAAGAAGCAAGGTGAGGCAGGCGGGGGATACGGTGCGGTGCGGTGCGGTTTACGGCACGGCACGGTAAGAAACGGCGGAGACGCTGGGAGGCACGGTCCAGGCTCGCCGCCGTCGTTGGTACCGGTAGGTACGGTAGCCCAGCGCTGTGACGCAGCCCCCTGCCTCTGTCTGCGTGCGTGCCGGCGTGCGTCTTGATGGCGGGTGCGGCATTGAGCCAGCAGCAGCAGGACTGGGGCAAGGCAGGCAAGCCAAGTTCTACCGGCACCGGTACGGTAAGGTGACGGCCAGAGGTTTGCGTAAAAGCGAGCCAAGAGTCCGAGAGTGGAGCTGCGCGGACGGGCCAGCCAGCCAGCCAGCAAAAGGCGCCCAATGACGTTACCCTTGGCCCCCACCCCCCTCCTCGGCCTTTGGTCATGGCCGCCCAGATATCCCCAAGACGGGACAGCCAGAAAGCAAGACGTGGCTCGCTTACGGCCTTTTCCAACCCGGCCACGGCTTGCTCGTGCTCCCTTTCACAGCAGCAGCAGCAGATTAGAGCGGCCACGGACAGACAGACAGACAGACAGACAGACAGACAGACAGACGAAGCCGACCAAGCAAGCCATCGAGCCAACACCACGTACGGCTCTGACTCTGGAATTTCCTCTGGGACCCAACGACCTAGGTGCGCTGGTACTTTGCCGCCGCCGCATCGTATTGCTCCCCGAACTGGGCGTACCACTTTTCCGTCAGCGCGATGCCGCTGCCCGCCGAGATCGTATCGCAGTCGTCGCGCATGCCCCGCGCAAAGTCGTCGATGAATTCTTCGACGGTGAGCGAGTTGGTGGCGCCCAGGTGCTTTTTGTTGTCGTCCGGGTTGGCGCGCTCGCGGTGCAGGTCGGTGCCCACCGACGGCGGCACCACCTCGACGATGCGCACGTTGGTCCCGCGCAGCTGCGTGCGCTGCGTCATGCTCCAGAAGTGCAGGAACGCCTTGGTGCCGTTGTAGCTGCGGCGCGGTACAGAGCGGAGCGAGGGATTGGACGGTTGCCCGTCAGCGCGAGTAGCCAACATGACACCAGCAGGCCTCACCGCCGACCCAGACTCTCACATGGGGTTGATGATGCTGTACGGCACGAAGCCGAGCACGCTCGAGACGTTGATGATGACGGCGGCCGGCTTGCTCTTGAGGTGGTCGAGAAAGGCCGTGGCGAGATGCACGGGTCCGCGGATGTTCTGCGGGGGTGATTCGGCGGCGATGCAAACGTGTCAGCCGTGTCCCGCGCCAGACGACGACGAGATCAGAGTGGGTGAGGGGCGTCGACCTCGGCAGGGCAGGCTCGGGATGGGGCCTCGACGACTGACAATGTTGATCTCGTTGTCGGCCTTTGTCAGGTCGAGGTTCTGCACGTCGAGTGGCCGCTGGACTCCCGCGTTGTTGACGAGGCAGTCGACCTCGGGATGCTCGGAGAGGACCTTCTTGGTGAAAGCGGGGATGTCGTCGACGTTGCCTGTCGAGGGCCGGGTGGCATGTAGCCGCGGGCATCAAGGAGCGAGAGACGAGCGCGCGTCAGTGGGGGGCCCATTGGCGAGTGGGTGCCCAGCTGGGCGGCAGCGGCAGACGTACCGGTGTCGAGGACGTAGTAAGGAACGTTTAGCTTCTTGGATGCCTGTTGCAGCTTTGACTCTGTGCGACCGACGAGGATGACCTGCTTGCCCTGCTGTAGGAACCACTCGGCCATGGCATAGCCTGCGGGGCGCAACGGTCGAAGGAGGGGGAGGGCGGGGCGAGGCATGTCAGGCAGGGTCGGCGAGAGGGCCTTGTGCAACGGCTCGTCGACTCACCTAGTCCGCCCGCGCCGCCGGTGATGAGGGCGCACTTGAAGTCGAGGATCTTGGGCGCCATGGTGGATTGAGTAACGGCGAGGTGAGGTGGTGAGGTGATGGTGGTGGTCCGTACTGGTGGCCCTGGAAGCTGTCGAGTGGGTTTTGCGCAATGGCCGTCGACGAGCGAAGGCCTTCGTGTCTGCGCAGCCCTCGTCAAGGGTCCACCACCAAAGACGACGGCGACGACGAAAGCGGGGCGGGGCGGGGGCCCAGAAAGAGGCCAGAAAGAGGCCAGGTTGAAGGCCGAGATGCCGAAAGACGAAGAGCGGAGATACACGGCGCAGCCATCATGGTCGACACTCGACCCCAATCGCCGCCGGTCCGAGGGCCGACGACAGACACACTCTACCTCTAGCTCGCTCCGTTTGGCTCCCTGACGTATCCAGCTGGGGCCCCCCGCCCTTGGCCCCCCTCCTCTAACCCAACTAGACGCCCTCGATCCATCCCTCTCCGCGTCCTTCCTCTCTTAACCCCAGCCATCTCTCCTGCTCCCATCTCCCTAGCAGCTTCCATTCTCCATCCTTCGCCATCATTGCCCGACGGCGTAGACCAAACACAACCACAACCACAACCACACGAACGACGCCAAAACATGTCCCAGGAGCGACATCACTTGCGCTCCCACTCGCGCGGACGCTTCTCCTACCCATCCAATCCAGCCTCGGCCTCGTCGACCACCTCCGCCGCCAACCGGAGGTCCGACCGCTCCTCGTCCAGGGCCAGCTTCCTCGGAAGGCCCCGCCAACGCACCTATCAAGTCGCCGACGACGCCGCCGCAACGCGATGGCGCAGCGAATCCCGCACCGTCCGCGGCAGCGTCGACGGAGATGCTGAAATCCACGACGACGACGACGACGACGACGGATTCGTATTCACCGACGAGGATGAAGATGGACAAGCAAAACAACACGAGCAGCGCACCGCGCGCAACAAGGCGCAGCCCCGCAAAGGATACAAGTCGACCTCAATCTCGCCGCCCCCAAACAGAGACCTCGCCCCATCGCAGCAGGCCACCACGCCCAGCCAGGCCTCGTCGCTCCCCGCATCCTCGTCCCAGCAGTCGCCGCCGGCCCCGTCGTCGGGCCCAACACCCCCCGTCAACGCGCCCGCCAACGACCTCGAAAAGCAGCAGCCACAACCCGGGCAGACGGGCGACGAGGGGCAACACCACCACCACCATCACCGCCCTCCCCGCCTGTCGCGCGTACCCTACCCCATCGCCCACTTTCTCGGCTACCGCAGCGAAAAGACAAAGGACCGCGCCCTCATCCGGCCCGTCGAGAAGCTGCCGCGCAAGCTCGAGACGCTCATCTGGGCCTGGATCGGCGCCCTCATCGGCCTCGGCTTTGTCATGATCCTCTTTTCGCGCTGGGACATGTTTTCCATGTCGTCCAACACGCCCACCACGTCCTGGACCGCACCCATCATCGTCGGCTCCTTTGGCGCCTCGAGCGTCATCCTCTACGGCACCCCGGCCTCGCCCCTCGGCCAGCCGCGCAGCTTCGTCCTGGGCCAGTTTATCTCGGCCCTCGTCGGATGCTGCGTCCTCAAGCTGTTTGAGCTCAACTCCAACTACAACCCGCAGCTCATCAACGACTCGCACAGCCTCGTCTGGGTCGCCGGCGGCATCTCGGTCGCCACGGCCCTCTGCGCCATGATCATCACCGACACCATCCACCCGCCCGGCGGCGCCACGGCGCTCCTCATCACCACCTCGCCCCCCGTCATCCGCCTCGGCTGGAAGTACCTCCCCGTCATCCTCCTCAGCAGCGTCATCATGGTCACCTGGGCCATGCTCTGGATGAACCTCGGCCGCGCAAAATACCCCACCTTCTGGATCGAGCCCAGCAACAAGGCCGTCACCCTCGCATCCCTCGGCATCTGGACCAGGAATGCTCCCGGCGGCGGCGGCGGCGGCGGCGGCGGCAAGAAGGATCAAGAGAAGAACAACAAGTCCAAGTAGAAGGCGTGCTCACATGCCACGTACGACTCTCCAGCCCCGCGATGAACCTCTGCTCCCGTCTCGTTGCGTAGACGTGCTGTGCGAAATGACAAGATACCCCCTGCCTTTATCGATCGATCAATGGATCGATTGCGTCGAGGCTGCCGTGCCACCATCAGCCCCGAAGCCAGGTACAATTCGCTGAGCGGCCTCTTTGTGCACAGGCATGGAGAGGTGCACGTGCGCTGTGGCTCGCAGCGTCCCGCCGAGCCAACCCACCCTGCCCGGCCGCTCGCTGCCTCGGGGCGTCGCCATGCCCTACCCACTGTGCAAGGCGGCGGCGATTCTCACCTCGCCAGCAGCAGCGCAGCATCGACCGGACCACGCGTACGATGGATCGCTCGTCTGCTGAGGCAGCACCGAGCGGGCTGGTGGTGACAGCAGAGCAGCTAGTAGTGCTCCTTGCTCATCTGCTCGCAGCACTGACTCGACTGAGATATAAAACCGCACCCCTCTCACGCCCCGACCTCTTCCCTTCGTCACGGACACCACACTCCTTTCCATTCGATGCGTTTCAAGCCGGCACGGGAAGCGCATCCACACTCACTTGCCTCCCTCGCACATCTTCGCAACTCCATCCAGCCTACACGTTTACGCCTCGCTCCCCGTCGCAGGACGACGATCAACCAGTCCAAGATGCGGCTCTCAAGCACGACCATCCTGCTCGTCCTCTCGGCCGTACTCATCGTCACCACCTTCGACCCTCTGCCAGTCGAAGCCGCACCGATCCCCACGCCTTCTCCTCAGCTCGAATCCGGCATCGCGAGCAGAGTCGGCGACGCGTTCGGCGGCCTCGTCGCTAAGGCCAAAAACGTCTTGCCCGGCAAGGTCACAAAGCAACCCTTCGAACAAGCCGCATCCCGTGGTGCTACCATCGTGCCCGCGCCGGCCGCCGAGCAGGCCCTGTCTCGTACCGCCTCGGAAGAGGGGTTCCACACGCCTGCCGGCTCTCTTTCCCCGTCCGGATCCGGACGTTTCGCCGGCGCCGCTGACCAGGTCCGAGCCGAGGGAGCTCGAGAGCGTCTCGACGGCGTCGTTGGAAAAGACCTGCAAACTGGCTCTGCTTCAACCTTCTCCCCCTCTTCTTCCTCGTCCTCCTCCTCCACGCCCTTGAGCCCTGGTTCAGCCGCTGTGCATGCAGGCGAAGATGACGAGTGGGAGAAGTGGGTGGCCCAGGTAGAGGCCAAGAGAAAGGGACGGGCGCAGGTCGACCGACTCGTCTTCGAGCCCGACATGGCCGGGCCCAGGCTGAGACCTTACAGCCCCGCCAAGAACGTCGAGCCAATGTCCGCCGTTGACGAAGCGGGCCCCTCACTGCGAACGAGGATTGCAGCCAACCTCAAGCGGTTCGGCAACTACCTGCGCGCGGCTCCGGGCGATCTGCGCGCATCGTGGGCCAACTTCCGCAGACCGGCACAGTCCACGGGCACCGGTATTGGCGCTGGCGAGACTGAGGGGCTGCAACGAGCCAGCGCCGCTTCGAGGCAGCCTTCGAGACTAAGGCAGGCCCTTGCAAACGGGAGCGAGTGGATCAGAAGCAAGACGACCTCGGCCGGCACCCGGCTCGGCAACATGCGCGACAAGGCCGCCGTCAGCGCTTCGCGCTACGCGTCCTACGTCCGCTCCAAGCTCATGCCCAAGCTCAAGACCGACAGCCCCACCAGTCGTCCTGCTCCTGTCGAGTGGCCTGGTAGGAGCATGGAGGAGAACTTTGGCATCTCGAGGAACGAGCCGGCCCAGATGCCGGCAGACGACGCCAAGAGCATCCGGGACGCGCACAGACAGGCGCTGCTGGATATGGAGCGGAAACGGCTGGCTCAGGAGCAGGAGGCTTAGGACCGGCGCGCCCCTGCCTGGCCCTTCCTCCGCGTTGGGTCCGTCTGTGCCGACGTCGTCCGAGCGCATCGCGAGAAGCCACTGGCACGCGGCGGCTCCGACTTTACTCGAGCACCATCTCCCTCTCCCGCTCCCCTCCCCCCTCGGCCCCTCTTCTCCCTTCCCGATCTCGAATCTACCCAGTCTGTCCCACTTCGGATGGAGTGAGAAACGACCTCCTTTGGCAGCCATCTCAGTTCACAGGGCTACAATAGACAGAGACGACCAAAGATTTCCGTGCGGACCATCGGACGCGCGAGGGGGACGACGTAGAGAAATATTGATAAATAGAGGGATGAGAATCCACCATGGCGGCGGGAATCCACCAGCCCGGTCAAGCCAGACTATGGAACCCGCCGGCCTTGCAACTACCATGAAGGCAGTCGCACGAGGGACGCGGGTTGCCGGTCGGGAGGCGCAGCGCCGGCCAGCCGGAGCGCGAGCTGATCAGATCTTTCCGACACCGGCGTGGGCAACGACCTGGCTCTTGACGCTGGAGGCCGACTGGGCGGCGGGGGCCTTGTAGTTCTTGAAGTTGGCGAGGAAGCCGGACTGGGTACCGACGATGGCGGGCGAGCCGCCGCTGTAGATGTTGGGCTGGCAGTTGCGGCCGAGGTAGGACTTGCAGGTGCCGACGTTGGCGCTGGTGGGGGCAAAGATGGAGCCGGGCGCCTTGTTGGGCTCGACGGTCTTCTTGACGTTTTCAAACACGTTGCCCTCGATGAAGGCCTGGGCCCCCTCGCCGACGTCAAAGGCGTGGCCCGAGTTGTTGGACCAGTAGTTGTTGTACACGTGCCACACGCTGTTGTACTCGAGCTTGGGCGAGCGTCCCGAGGTGTCGTGGACGTAGTTGTTGGCAAACGTGATCTGGTCGCCCTTGCCGTAGCCCAGGATGGCCCAGTAGTGGTGGCCGTCGCACGACGACGACCAGCTCGTCTTGCCGTCAAACTCGTGGTTCGACACGGTGACGCCGCCCGACGACGAGAAGCCAGTGACAAAGTGCTGCCTGCCGATCAGGCTCGTCTTGCTGTGGTCGACCCAGATCTGACGGCCGGAGGAGGCGACGGTGAGTTGACATGGCGTGTCAGTGGGCGTCAGCCGTAACGTTCATCTCGACAGCCGTTCCTTAATCTTGGCCAGCCGTGCTTCCTTCATTTCGCAGTCCTGGAAGGCCCTCGCGGCCCCCCCTCGCTACCTTCGCCACCACTCCTCCATCGAGCTCCCACATCACTCACCTTGTCGGTGCCAGCGAGGGTGATAGCGTCGCCGCCCCAGATGTACTGAGGGTTGAGGTCTGTGATGTGGACGTTCTGGATGATGACCTGCTTTACGCCGTTGGCCATGCGCAGGCCCTTGCCGCGGATGATGCCCTTGCTTCCGACGCCGACGATGGACTTGTTGGACTTGACTTGGATGGGGGTGAGGGCGGCCTTGTCGTAGGTGACCTTGGTCTTGGGCAGGCTGTCGCACCACGTCTGGCCAGGCACGGCAATGGCGAGCTGCGCCTTGTTGCCGCACTTGTACGACGTCGGGATGCAGCCGGCGCAGTTGGTGCACGTGCCGTCGGAGCCCTTGAAGTTGTACTCGCGGTCGAGCATGATGACGCGGGCGACGTCGTCCTCGAGCCACTGCTTGAGCTGCGCGGGGCTCGTGGGCGTCTGAGGCTTGGCGTTGCCGCCGCCGACGGTGCCAGTGGCGAAGCCAAACGCGGTGCCCTTGACCTGGGCGCTGACCTGCAGCGCCGAAAGGCACGCGACAAAGACGGCGGAGAGGGCGACCTTCATCTTTGGGACTAGGAACAAAGGGCAAGGAGAACGAGATGGAAGGGTGAGGAGGGTATAGGAGAGGCGGGGCTGGATGGCGTGCCAGGATGTTGAGAGGGACTCACAATGTCACGTTATATACCTTGCCTCACCGACCACTGTCCTGGCATCGACGAGGCGGGCAAGCCCGAACGGTGTCGAAGTCGACCTGGGCGAGAGCCACCACCCGGCTTGCATGGGCAGAATGGGGCCAAAAGAAACGGGGACAAAAGATTCCCTGCTTCGACCTCGTCCAGGAGAGGGCGACCGGCCAGACGAGGCCGTTGTCCAGTCAGCCGCGGTGCTCGCGGGCTTCGGTCATTTCTGCTGCCCAGCGATTCTCCTTTCGAGAGGGAGAGCTTGGCGGTCGGAGAGCCTCGAGGCATGATGAGCCATCGGAGGAAGGATCGAGCGCAGACCGCGAGCGAGGCAGCTTGGCGCTGTTGCACCGTTGACGTCGTCGAGAACCGCCCTGCCTGCCCTGCAACCGCCGAGCGCCCGCGTCGAAACATGCTCGCAGAAGCGCGCGCGGCAGAGGATCGACAGGGCATCGTCGCAGACCAGTCAGTCGAGAGGCAGTCAGTCATTGGACGAGAGGGACGGCGAGATGGTAGGAGAGAGTGCAAACGAGGGTCCTCCCCCCAGCCCGCTGGCCGGATCAGTGAGACCCGGATCTGTGGAAGGTTGCTGGGTTGGCGTTAGTGCACCCGCCTGCCCTTCGCGACCAGGCAAGCCGCTGCGCCCTGGCGCCGGCTCGATTGTTCTGAGGCTTCGCATCGAGGCGAAACAGGCCCTGGCGAAGTTCATTGTAGTCCTGGCCAAACCGTTTTAAGAGAGGCCGCCAAGGTCGAAAGCCATTCCCTTGGTTCATTGCTACACGTTTTCAAAGCCAGTCTAGGAGTGCTGCGCCCCCGGCGATGGCTCGATGGCTGGCCAAGCTGCCCGGCTCGACTCCACGTGCCGCTCCGCCTGCGAGATGCGTGCTGCGACCGGCCCACACTTGGCGCTGCGGTAGCTGCGAGCAAATTACTGGCGAATTTGTTGGCCTGGCAGGCAGAGCGTACAGGGCTTTTCGCCGGCGCGATGCTGTCCAGACGCGGTGCCTGGCTGTAGGCGCTTTCCGCGTCGCTGTGAACGTCTATGTAACGTAAGTGTGTCGTGGGCCGCACCTCGAGTCGACTGCCGATTCTTCGTCGATGCGTCCAACTGGCCACCGTAGCGTTGACGAAGTCAAGAGCCCTGCTGCTAGTCGCTTAGGTCGCAAGGTTTCCCTGCCGAACCTCGCTAGGCTTTCTCCCACGCGGCGAAGATCACCGTGGGCAGTCGAGATGGAAGGTTTGAGGTTGAAGCAGAGGGGGACGACATGTCCGACGCGGTCATATTGATCAAGCTCCGTGACACGCCCGGTAGCTCGCTGCTGGGGTGGCAGCCTGATGCGGGCAGAACGTTCATGTGCCATGCTGGTGCCCCTTTCCCGGATCAGGTAGGGCAGGACATACATATGGGCGAGCCACACGAAGCGGCAAAGACGGGGAAGCCCAAGCTGAGCACTTGGGCCGGGGTCCCTGGCGTTGCCTTGGATATGGGAGTGCGCCCCCAAGCAGGCGGGCGGGCGTTGCTGGGCGTAGTCGGCACTCGCTCATGCATCGGCGACGACGCGGCAACACTGTTGGCCCGTTGCGGGCCGATTGACTGCGCGGCGGATCAACGCTGGCAACCGGGCGCCGCAGGTGGGACGTCGAAGAAGCAGCACTACGCACGACAGTTTGAATTGCTGCTACCGTTGAAGTGGCCGGTCCGTCACCGCCTACACTCCCATTACGTTGGACGCCACGTTCGTATCTACATATATATGTATCAAAGGGTGCGACCGAGAGGAGCACGAGCCTGCAACCGCCGTGAGCTGCTGTTCCACGCAACCGTGCGCGCTCCGACAACGGCATGCTTCTACATGTGGTCGCTCAGGAGCTCAAAGCAGAGACTCTGCAACTGCGCCGAGCGCCGCACCACCGGTGCCGTCGGCCCGGCAGACATCGCCGCCTCGCTGCCAACGCCATCGTAGGCTCACTGAGTCATGTTACATACGACGGTGGCTTGGGCGGAACAGTGTCATCAGCTCTTTCTTCCGGACCTTTTCCGGCCCGCGCGACTTTTGGTAGTAGTCTCTCGAGGCGCTCGCACGCGCACATTAATTTCCGTCTGAACTCTAATGAAGGAATGGGCTGGCTCGTCGCGGGCGGCTCGGTGAGCGCGGCGGATGAGGGCGACATGAATGGACCTTGTCGCGAACGACTTCCGGGTAGAGATCGAAGAACGCCACCTCCAATGACAATGAAGACGACGGCTAGCGAATAACCCATCGTCGGCCTGACTCGTGAGAGCAATTTGAGGACCTTGCCGGACATCGGCTTCAGGGACGAACGTGAAGAATGGATGGCAGAACAAAAGAATGCGACCGTGTGAGACCCCGGATGTGTGGCCATGGTCCTGTGCAGCCGCGCCTCCGAACTTGACCCGCTTCCGGGGCCTCTCGAGGGCTCACGGAGCGCAGGCACGTTCTGCTCTGCTAGACGACAAACCACCACCGCCACCATCCGCCTTCAAACGGTCGATAAGTGTGCCAAGAGGGTCGGGTCGTTCCCTGCTCGGTCGATGCGACGGGTAAATCCTGGAGCTGCTGGACGGCGCCAATTGTCGTTGATCAAGAGCAGGGCCACCACGTCGAGGATTTGCAGAGTGAGGCCTTTCACCTTCAATTTTTTCGGCCCTTTTGCGCGACTGCTCTGCCGCTCCAGGACAGCAGCTACATACAGCAAGTGTGGTCAAGAGAGGGACGCATCTAACTCCATCATTGTCCAGGAGCATCTCAGCTCTGGCCTCGACAGAGCCGCCTCCGAACCGCGCACACAGCGTACCACGACAAGAGGGTCACTGCGAACGCGCCAACGATGCCGGCACCAATCAGACCGCTCTGGTCGTTGCAGTGCCGCCAGAAGAGCCACCATCGTCCTTCCAACTGCCCGGTACCCTCCTCGGCCTGCAGGTCCGCAGCGCGGGCACACCTTTCACAGTTCTCGCCGATGAGACCCAGGATCTGGATCGCCGAGATGACAAAAGCCAGCACGATTGAGGCCAGAGTTAGCATGTGCGAAAGCGTCGTCGCGGTCGAGACCGCCGAGATATCGGTCGCTGCTGCTGCTGCGGTGGTCGGTGAAGATGGGCCGACTTGAGGCAAATCGTCGACGAGGTCGTCGGGCTCGATCCTTTCCTGCGCGCCCGGTAGGCTCTCGGTGGGAACGGCTTCGTCCTTTTCGAACAGGGCCCATCGCCTGCGACCGGCTCCCGACCGAAGCTCTCCGGGCGCGTAGGCGTTGATCATCAGGATCGAGTCACAGCCATCAACGAGCGTCATGCCGGCGGTGAAGAGCAGCGCCAGCAGGACGATTGAGCCATCGCTGGTCCCACGTCCTTCTTGCCCTGCGCTCTCGATCGGCTCGCCGCCGGATGGCACAATCGCTGTGTTCGTCGCCGCGGCAACGCCGAGCAGCGCTATCGAGCTGGCTGTGTCGAACCCGAAGCCGAACAGGATGCCGATTGGGTATAGCTTGTAAGGCCGATCCACCATCCTGAGCAGCGGCCGTGCTATCCTGGTGAAGATGCCTCGAAAGTTGTGTCTTTCCTTGTTCGCAGAGGCTTCGGCCTCGTTGTAGGCCTTCTCGCCGAGCTCCTTGGCTTGGTCTTTGTGGGCGGTCGTTTCGAGCTTGCTGTCCGTCGTTGGCGTCGCTGGTCCAGCATCCTCGATGCCAGCCTTCTCAGACCCGGGAGAGGCGGTGCTTCTCCCTCGAGCGCCTCTCCAGCTCCTCCAGAGCAGGATCGAGTTGATGACGCCAAAGAGGAAGAGGAAGCTACCACTGACAGAGGCGCCGATGATGCCTCCGACCTCAGAGACGCCGCCAAGGTGGTTGACGACCGACGTCGAGATCGCCACTGCAATCAGCACCGAGACGACGATGGTCGAGTGACCCAGCGAGAAGAACAGGCCGCAGGTGACGGGGCGACGCAGGCCGAGGTGGGGTCGTTGCGGATCCCTCTGCAGCGAAGCGATGCGGCGGGTCGCATTGTCGATGATGGAGATGTGGTCGGCGTCGAGGCCATGTCGGAGGCCCAAGGTCCAGGCGAGGAGGCAGAGCGAGAGGAGATGCGAGGCGTCGCGGTGCTGCGAGTCGCGCTTGGCTTGCCGGGTGAAGACGATGGCGGAGATTGTCCACAGCAGGGCGTTGGCGAGCAAGCAGGCAGCTAGGAGGAGCAGGCACCGCAGCAAGAGCGTCGGGCGCGACCGCCGGACGGTCCTGAACCGCGAGAAGTCGGGAGATGTCATGGATGGCGAGCAGGGCCAAGTAGGTCGATGAGCCAGTCGCACCGAGCTTTGCCTATGGCCTGAGCATTGCGATGTTGGTCGACGGTGGGTAGAGCGCAGTCCACAGCGACGAAGAAAGCGTTGGCCATCGACCGAGGAAGAAGACGCTTCTCCCTCTGCATCTGATTCGCTCGGGGATGGACCCTGTCGACCCTTTCCGACCGCCTTATCTTTGGCCGGGGCGGCCCAGATCCCGCGCCCGCCTCGTTGCCGGCATTATGGTCGCCGAGTCGCACGAGTGAGGAGAGGGCTTCTTCGAGCTCGTTCGTCGTGAGGATTTCCAGTTTTTCCCCCAATCTTGAATTTGCGCTGGCTCGAAAGTCGAGGAGCTGGCGACCTTTCAGAGCCGCTTGTCCGTTGCAGCTTTGACTGAGTTGTGGTTTTTGGCGTCAGCGCCCTGCAAGCGTTGATCCGTCGCGGACAACTGCCAATGATTAGCCTGCTGCCAAAAAATCTGATTTGTGCGAGTCCTGGAATTTTCCCACTTTCGAGTTGTGGAAACGACGCAGAAGAAAAAGAACACCAATCAGTTGGATTCCTTTGTTCTGAGGTTTTCGAAAGTGGACGCCTTCCAAAATTTCCGGTGGACGGCACCGAAGGCCTCATCACACAGCGAGAAGTCACGCGAGGCTATCGAGCCGTCGGTCTGCCTCTCCAACAACCTACAGCCAAGTACCGTAGCTCGGCGCCGGCGGCCCTAAGCCGGTCCCTCGGGTCCGCAAGCTAGCCTCAAGGTGGCGGCCGTCGCGCACAGAGTCAGGATCTGTCCTCATGGGACTCTTGCTTGACTTTGACGATGCCAGACTGACAGGCTTTGGGTCGATGACTGGACAAGATGCTGCCCCCTGTTCCGCGAGTACACACGATCGGTCGTCAAGCACGACCCGGCCTCGCGCGACCTCTGAGGAAGCCGTGTCCCAACAACAAAAGGCGCAGAGCAAGGGGTCGCCGGTCAAGTCGGGCGCTACCTCGACGGCTCTGCCGACGAGAACCCAGACGACGCGGAGCGCGCCGGGCCCGCTGCACAGCAAAGAGTCGTTGGCCTTTGCAGCACACCCCTCACCCACCTGTCTTGGCTCACCCTCCGCCAGACTGTCGCTCTGTCCGGTGAAGCGTTCATCGCGACCCCTCTCATCATCAGGTACGACAGACACTTGAGCTCAACGCATCCGACCAAGCCACGGCTCCGTGCGGTTTCGGAGCCCCACAAGCTCACGCTGGCTGCGCCTCACGTCGCACAACCATGAGAAGCGCTCACCGCGATTCAACAGACCTGCCAAGCACCGGAGCGGTGGCACCAAGAGCAGAGCCGGTGGGTCCATGCGTTACGTACGTACGGTGCTGGACAGCCCTGCTTGCCGTCTCATCGGTCACGTATGGACACGGTTGGACGGCGGCGACCGAGCTCGGATCGGAAGGACCGTCCCACGGCCAGCCCGACGGTCGGCGGCACCCTCCTGGAGAGCAGCCCAGCCTGCCTGTAGGCGAGGCGGGGATTTCTCGGCCCATCGTCGGGGCAAAACTGCTTGAAGCGGCGCCGCGACTGGCGAGGTGCCTACCAAGCCTTGGCCCATCTCGGCGCCGCTGCGTCTACATGTGGGACGACGGCATGTCATGCATGCATGCACGCACGAAATCCTCCGAGGACGACGTACGGAAGCTCCGCCCGTTGGAAGCGCTGTCGGCGCCGCAACACCGGCCGTTCAGCCTGCCCTCGTTCTTTCGTTTTGACGATGTTCGGCTGGCTTCGATCAGCGACGAGACCCCTCTCTGTGCAAGCCTCAAGTGCGCTGTCGAGGAACTCCTGGTTACGAGGATCGAGGGCCGCGATGCACACCGTGTGGTCCATCAGGCCACGCTTGGCGAGGTCGGATGGCCCGAGGAGGTCGCGTGCTCGGAGCGTGGTGGCCTCGGAAAGGCTCAACCGTGGCCTTACGCATTTGGACATCGAGTTGGGTCTGGGCTGTGGAGATGACGCCAAAGTTTGGCTCGATGCCCATTGTGTCGGGAGGAGGTGTGAGTCCTAGCGCACTGTGGCGGTATGAGTTCGCCCGAGGCTACCTGGCCACTTGCTTGGCGAAGGACCGGCTACATAGGTGCAGACGGCGAGGGGCAGCTACAGTACCCTGGGCGGTGCATGCAGCTCCGGACGGCCCTACTCTCGAGCTTGTAAGCTGTTCACGAGCTGCTGCGAAAGCAGCGGCCGTCAGTCCAGAGAGTGTGTCTGCATCGAGAAGAGGCAGGCGGATGAACCGACATGCAACAGAAGCAAGCAAGCCAGATGAGAGCGGGGGGTCAGCATGAGGCGGAGCCCCTCGAAACGAAAGTACAGCAGGCAAGCTTTTCGAGGCGTAGGGCCGACAGAGAGGTCAGAGGCGAGACGAATTCGCCGGTCAGCCCAGAGCATGCCTGCCCCCCCGCCCGCTCGGCCACGGCTTGGCCAAAGGGGGGCGCGGTTTCGCTCGCTGTACCCCAGCTCCAGACCCTCTGCAAGGTGTCCGAATGATGCTTTGCGAGGCAGATGCTACACAAGAGCCAAGCAAGGCAGCTGATCGACACGGCAGACGGGCCGACCCGGCCGTCCACCGAGCGATGAGCGACAGCGGCGGCGACATCGGCCACCCACGGACCCCCTGCCTCCAGTCTACCTAGCCTGCCCCTCGATTCTGGCTGCAGCGTTGTACGTTGGGTTGCGACAGGCTGCGTGGCTCTTGACGAGGCGCTACGTACTCCGGCCTGCTTGCTCGCCCGGACCCTCCGTTTCTTCTTCCAGCTCGTCAGCTAGGCCGAACCGGCCAGGATCCCCATATATAGCTCGAGCAGCCCCACACGCGCTGGCTTCCCCGCTTTAGACCTCCATCCCCGCAACCCAGCGTTCCCATCCTGCTCCCTTCACCTTTTGCGTTCGAGAAACGACATGGGAGGTGCCGTCAACTTCAGCTCTCCCCAGGGCGGCGTCCTGGGAGAGACCAAGATCTTTTCCAAGGCCAACGCTCGCCCCGTCTTTTACTGCGCCATCGCCGTCGTCGGCGCCGTCCTCTACGGTTATGGTAAGTCGCTTGCGTTGCGCGGCCGCTTCACGCACCGGGCGCTGTGCTGATGTCTCGTCTCCCTCGCTCGCCCTCCGCACGTTAGACGGCACCTACTTCACCGGCATCCTCGAGATGGACAGGTTCAAGCTCGACTATGGACAGCAGAACGCCGATGGCGTCTGGATCATCTCTTCGAGCGACCAGTCCCTCTACGCCTCAATCATCCAGGCCGGCGAGGTCATCGGTGCCCTCATCGCTGGTCCGCTCGGCGACTTTGCAGGGCGTCGCGGCGGCCTCGGCATGGCTGGCATCCTCCTGGTCATCGGCATCGTCCTCCAGCTCATCGTTGCCGGCTCCAAGCCGCTGCTCACCGTTGGCCGCCTTGTCCTCGGCAGCGGTGTCGGTATCATCTCCAACGCCACTCCGCTCTATCTCTCTGAGGTCGCGCCTACGGCCATCCGCGGCCCCATCGTATCGTCGTGGCAGCTCATGCTCGCCATCGGCCAGGTCATCGGCGCTGTCATCCCTCAGGGCTCCAAGGACATCGACTCGGCCTGGTCGTACCGCACGCCCATCATCTGCAACCTCTTCTTTGTCGCCATCCTCGTCGGTGGTCTCTTCATGCTGCCAGAGTCTCCCCGGTGGCTGATCAGCAAGAACAAGGACGAGAAGGCCCTTGCATCGCTCCACAAGATCAACAGGGGCCAGGACGAGTCGGTGCGCGGCGACGTCATTCAGTTCGAGTACGACAGCTTCCGACAGGCACGACAGGACGAGATCGACCTCAACGGCGCCGGTGGCTGGGGCGCCCTCTTCCAGGGCGTCGAGCTGCGCAAGTTCATCTGCGTCGTCGGCATCCTCATCTCGCAGCAGATCGGCGGCGTCCAGTTCATCTTTTCCTACTCGACCGTCTTCTTCGCCTCGGTCGGCCTCACCAACTCGTTCCTCATGTCGATCATCGTCACCGTCATCGAGGTCGTCGGCGTCCTCGTCTCGTTCCCGTTGGTGCAGAACTTTGGCCGCCGCCCACTCCTCCTGTGGACCTCGGTGCCTATGTTCATGTCGCTCTTCGTCGTCGCCGGCATCGGCACCAAGGGCCTGCCCCCCTCCGGACAGACGCTCCCCTATCCTGGGGTTATCACCGTCGCCGAAGGCCGTACTATCGCCGCGATGATCTGCGTATACGTTTTCGCTTTCAACCTTGCTTGGGGCCCTTTGGCCTGGGTCTGCGCCTCTGAGCTCGGAACAGGCCGCAACAGGAGCAAGATCATGTCGATCGGCACGACATGCTTCTGGATCACGGCCTGGGCGGTCACTTTCACCCTGCCGTACCTCTTCGACAACGCCGGGCTCGGTGCGCAAATCGGCTGGATCTACGGCTGCGGCACGCTCATCGCCATGGCGTTCGTCTTCTTCTTCATCCCGGAGACGCGGGGCAGAAGCCTCGAGGAGATCAGCGAGATGCAGGAGAAGCGCGTCGCGACGCGGCAGTGGCGCACGTACGAGACGTCGCAGGAGCGACTGCGCTACGAGAGGTCCGCCGACCTTGCCGAGGACGGCACCGGCTCCGTCGGCTCGCCCGTCGACGACGCCGACAAGAAGAAGGGCACCGACGCCACGCCAACGAGGGTCGACAGCGTTACCGATGCCGACTCGCAGGCATAGTGGACGTATCTCGCGACGAAACGAAAACACGAACTCTGCCTCTGCTCTGTCTTGCATGTCCCGTCCCAATCACGATCGATCAGCAATGCATTCCACGAACATCCGAGTCTTGAAAGGATTGAGGTCGAACAGCGTGTGGCCAAGAGGCTCGTGAATGACATGCTGAGAGAGACCCTCGTCGCCGTTCATAGCAGGTGGGCTGCGCTCCTTGGCTGCCCATTAGAGAGTGTTTCTACAGAATGGCATCTGTAGCGGTTCTAGGTCGCCTCAAAACGGTGTTACGGCAACTCAACCCTTGCCAGCCCGTGCGTGCATGGCCATTCGACGAAGGTGTCGCCAGGGTCACGGAGCCATATCACGGAGCCATATCACACTGCCAAAAAGGAGGACTTTACTGCTTTGATTGCCCAGGGACACCGCAGTTGGAGACGAGCGGCGCTCAACAGGTTTGAAAAGGAAGGATCACAGGCTAGGGTGTGACTACGGTAAGGGACAGGGTGGGTGAAAGGAGTGCAGCTACAGAGGGACTGCCGAGGGACGGCGTCGTCGCAGCGCAGGGGTGCTCAGCGGCGCTGGTAGAGGACACGCTTCTTGAGCTGACGCTTGGCGGGGGCGGCGCCGGCAGGCTGCTGCTCCTTGGCGCCCTGGTCGTTGGATCCGGGGCGGACGGCGCTGAGGCCGACCTTGGACCCGGGCTGAGCCTGTTCGGTCGGCTGGTTGGCAGTGCTGCCCTGCTCGGTCTTGCCGGCCGAGCCGTTGGTCTGCGCATGAGCGGGCTCGGCGTCCTTGGTGGAGGCGTGCCAGGTCGAGGCATCCTTGGCCGAGGCATCTTCGGTCGAAGCGTCCTTGGTCGAGGCATCCTTGGTCGCGGGCTGTGCAGCGGCCTTGGTGTAAGAGTCGTCGGCGGTCGAGTCCTGGAAGTTGGCACCGGGGGTGGGGACGGCGCTGCCCTTTGCCTTTGCCTTTTGCAGCTCGGCCTGGACGCCGGCGGCGAGCTTGGGCGAGATCTTCTGGAACTGGGCCATGAGGTTGTCGATGATGATCGACGCCTTGACGTTGGCCATGGCGCCGGCAAAGTTGCTGTGCAGGTTGTCGCGGTCGCTCTGGGTGAGCTGCTGCTCGTAGAACTGACGGGGCTGCTCGTAGTCAATGTCCGGGTTGATCTTGGACTCGTAGTGCACCGTCGAGCCCTCGAGCTTGTCCTCGATGACCGTCTTGGGACGGTCGAGCACCTTGAGCTTGTCCAGGATCGAGGGGTAGTTGGGTCGGTGGCCCTGGTTGCCGTGCACCGAGCTCACGCCGTCGCGGTCAAAGTTGGCGACCGACGAGAGCGGGCAGTTGACGGGGATGTCGAGGTAGTTGGGTCCGAGGCGGTGTCGTCCAGCGTCGTTGTACGAAAAGAGGCGCGACTGCAGCACCGGGTCGGCCGAAGCCGCCCAGCCCTCGACCATGTTCGACGGCGAGAAGTGGGCCTGCTCGATCTCGGCAAAGTAGTTTTGCGGGTTCTGGTTGAGGGTGATCTTGCCGACCTCTTCGTACTTTGCGTCGGGCCAGTCCTTGGTGAGGTCGAGGACGTCGTAGCGGTACTTTGCGGCCTCCTCGGCCGTCTTGACGGCGATGCCGACGGTCCACGAGGGGTAGTTGCCGTTCTCGATGGCGTCGTACAGGTCCTGGGTGGCCCACGCGTCGTTCTGACCGGCGACGGCGGCGGCCTCGGCGGCGGTGAAGTTGTGGATGCCCTGGTTCGAGGTCAGCTTGACCTTGGCGTAGACCCAGGAGCCGTCCGACTGCACCAGGCGGTAGGTGTGGCCGGACCACGCGTCCATACCACGCACGCCCTTGGGGGTGCCGAGGTCGCTGAACAGGCGCAGGAACTGCAGCAGGCTCTCGGGGAACTGGCCCGGCCAGGCGAAGAAGTCGTCCCACCGGCGCGTGTTGGTGGCCGGGTCCGTCTTCTGGGTGTGGATAAACGTCGGGAACTGTTAAGGAGATCATGGATGTCGATGTCAGTGTGGTTTCACGGGGGCTGCGAGTTCATAGCCAGTACTTTGTCGACCATCTACACAGCAAGACTGACCTTCAGAGGATCCCGAATGCTGGAGTGGGAGAGAGTATACGCGCCCCGATTTCTACGCGTCAGTACCATCCCTCGCCGTCGCAGCGTGTCCATCCTGACAATCCAACAACATCAAGCGTCGGCGGGGACTCACAAGAAGACAGGAGTGTTATTGAATACCCAGTCAAGGATGCCAGACTTGGTACGGATCTTGATGGCCACGCCTCGGGGGTCGCGGGCGGTGTCGGCGGAGCCGCGCCCGCCGCCGACGGTCGAGATGCGCATGGTGACGGAGCTCTTTGTGCCCTTCTTGAAGACGTCTGCCATCGAGTACTTGGAGGCGGCGTCGGTGGTGACCTCAAACACGCCGTGGGCGCCCGAGGCGCGGGCGTGGACGATGCGCTCGGGGATGCGCTCGCGGACAAAGTGGGCGAGTGTGTCGAGGAGGTGCGTGTCCTGGAGGAGGAGCGGGCCGTTGGGGCCGGCGCGCTGGGCGCCGTGCGGCTGGAAGTAAGGGGCGCCGTTCTCGGTGGTGTAGAAGGGCATCTGCGAGGCGTTGTTGAACGCCTGGCTCTCCTTGAGGCGTCCGCCCTGGAAGAAGTCGGAGTCGCCGCCGGGCGCGGCGCGCTTGGCGTACTCGGGGAACGCGGTGACGGCCGTGGCGGCGACGGCCAGCATCGCCGCGAGGCTGGCAAACGAAGCTGACAGCTTCATGGTGTTTGATTCGTCCGGCGGATGGGGAAGGAAGGGTGCCTGGGAGCGTTGGAGGGAGGGGGAAGGTGATGGGCTTCTGTCGTCCTATTGAGGCTCGGTACAGGTGGTGCTTTATAGAAGCTCGCCGCCTGAGCCGGCGGGACAGAGCTGCGGTTAGCTCTCGGTCATCATCGCTCTTGTTCAGCCCCGAACAGCCACACCGCCGCCAAGCTTAGCTGCAGCCCCGCTGGCTACCAGTGGGACGGTACTTGGGGACGGTAGCACCGCCAACGCGTGCGCGGGCCGGGCGCGCCGGTGGTATCTATGGCGCAAGGCCGATCGACGGCAAACGCACACGGTCATGCCCTCAGGCCCCCTCGTCCTTGCCTTTGTTATTGCGTTCGCACGGTTGGCCGAAACCGACAACGTCGAGGAACTGGAAGACACGGCGGTTCGGTAGGCCATGAACCGAGTCGCATCGCGATCTGCCATCAGAATCTGCCGCCGCCCTACCGCCCGTCCGGCGCTGCGCGATTAGAGTATCTCTCTAGCTTAGCGTCGAGCTAGCAGTAGTGCCGTACCGGGGAACCGACCCACGCAACGGCGCAGCGTGCATGCGTGGGTGGCCGCGGACAGCAAGCACCCTACCGCTGCTGACCACGGCCGAATTCGGAAGTGGGCCCGGTGGGTTGCGACATCCTCGGCGACCCCGGAAAGTCGACACACGCACGGTGGTGCTTCCAGGCACCGGCGGCAGCAGGTGTGGATGTGACTCTGACTGACACCGTACGCCGCAGCGGCGAACTACTCACTTCGGATGCCGGATGGCAGGCTACCCTCAGGGGGCAGTGACTCCCGACCTCCTCCTGACGAGCGAGGATCTCCGGCTGTTTGAATAGAAGCGCAGTGGGTCGATCTGCTCGGCGCCAAAGGATATCCCTCGGACACGTTGGACTGTGGCGTTGGCGGGACAAAGCTTGGGGATGTGGGAAGCCGTGCTTTTGTGCCTATTGCCGTGTACACATGCAGAACCAAACGAAGAGCGAATCGAAAGGTTGCCATGGCTCCTCCTGTCTGCTGCTCAGGCTGAGCGAACGTTGTTCCTTCGCTTGGATCGCCACCGCCTGTCAACGAGCGCCAGTCCGTCCGTATTCGCGCTCCGCTCCTCTCGATCTGACCGGCATCTCCATTGCGGTCCTCATTGGACCCCCCAAAAGCTATTCTGTACTGCTGTATGTTCGTATGAGCAGCATCGCATTGTTGTCCGCGTGACAGAAGACCTGCGACGACGACGACGACGACGACGACGACGACGAGTTTGCTGCAGCGCTGCGGCGCCGAGTCGAATTGATCTGTTGAAAGGACAACACCCGACGGTTGCGGGTGGGGGCAGCCGCGCTAGCAGGCATGGCGCGCACGACGGTGCCACTGTCCCTCGACGGTGGGGTACGGCAGACACACTGAGGCAGCTACAGTAGCTGTGCCAGGCCTTGCGTTGACATGGTCCGCAGCTCGCCGCACCCGCTGCCTCTCGTGTCACGGTCGCCTCCGCCGAGGAGAGCTTGCTGCCGGAACCAACCATCCGAGGCTCCGGCCTGCTTGCTTGCTACAGTAGCTCGCCTGCCTGCCTGCCTGGTTGCTTATCCCCGAACGTCGAGGCGCCGCTTCCACCGCAGGCAAGAGGCAGCCCAGCCCGGCTGTCGCGGCAATCAAGCACCATGCAAGAGGATCGCCGCCCGCCTGGCCATGAAAAAGAAAAAAGAGCATCGCTTCACCGCGCTCGCCCTCCCTTCCTCATCCCCAGCGATGCTGGAAAAACACAATCCGAGCTGCCGGAGTCGAACCGGCGACCTACGGTGCACTTTCTTCAAGGAACTCAAGCGGTTCCAACGCTTACAAACCGTCGCTCTCCCAACTGAGCTAAGCTCGGTGTTGTTTTCAGGATCGGAAATATTGCGTACATATGTTTTGACGCGTGAGAGCGAGCATTTTTCTTTTCCGACGCGCTGTTCGGGAGGGTGGAGATTCGGGTTCGTGACGCCCCTGCTTCGGGAATCCTGCCAACTAGCAACCTCTTGGGAGGCCTGCCGTGCACTTCGGGATGTGCTGGAGCCAGCGTTGGTGAGACTGCGCGAACCGTGAGCGTTGGGGACACACAGAGTGTTGCGCCTCAGCCCTCAAGCGCCAACATGGACCTCCCGAATCGCTCACGAGGTGCTGACAGGTCACCGATTCTCGACTCTCCCCAAAAGGAAGTAGTGCTGCGTTCTACGAATCATCCTGAACACTGAAAAAACGGCCTCGAATCCCCTGAGAGAATTACGGATCGAGGGCGGCACCCTCCCGAAAGCAGGTCGAAAAAGGAGTATATGCGAGGCAGGGCTGAGTGCCCATACTGCGCTGGGGAGCACACGATGCGTGACGGAGTGTATGTAAATCTAAGTTACTGTTACAGAGGCGGGGTGGGGCAGAGGCAAAGCTCATGGATGGGCAAAGCGGGGTGTCTCGTCAACTGGCCGAATCAGGCCCTGCCTCTTCCTCTTCCTCGGCCACGGCCACGGCCGCGGGCCCCTGTGCGAGCGCCGCTGGCCCCGCGACCGGGCGTGGTGTCGGCGGTGTCGTCTGCAGACGCGGTCTCGTCGGCAGCTGCGGCATACCTGGCGGGCCTCGCCATGCTCTGGGATCCGATGAGGGCCTGCGTAAACTCGCCCGCCTCGGTGAGGTTACCCAGATGCTCTGCGTCAAAGTCGGCCTTGCGCATCTGCGCAAACGCGATGTGCACCTCCCTCTGGCAGATGTTGGTGATCGAGTAGGTGTTGCCTGTAGCGCGTGCGCGTCGGACGTCGACGACGTGAGGTGCCGAGCGAGGCGATCAGTCTGGGCGTCTGCGTCCGCTGGCGATGCATGCCTCCTCGAGCGAAGCGCGACTCACCTGCGGGCACGTAAAAGATGCCGCCGGGGCACAGGGTAAACTGCCGCCGGTGGATCTGGACGTTGACGGCTCCTTCAAAGACGAAGAAGAACTGCAATCGTCGGGCGGCGTCGAGAAAAGGACAGGACGGACGCAGTCAGCCAGCAAGCCCCGACCTCGTCATCAAGCAGGGACACCGCCGTCGCCACCGCATGCTCACGTAGTGGTTGTTCCTGCTCGACTTGGTCGCCTTGCTGGCGCCCGGCATGATGCGCATCCGCCCGCCCGCCATCTCCGACTGAATACTGAACGCCTTGAAGAATTGAAAGCCGCCGTAGGTGTCCTTGTACTTGACCATGTGGTCCGCAAAAGAAACGGCTGCACGGCGTGGAGCGCAGAGGCAGGAAACGATGCGACACATATCGTCAGCCATCGATCGGCAATTCAAAGGTCGTAACTTAGCCCGTCTCGAGCGTTGCGAGCAGGCATACTCACGTATCTCGACCTCCTGGCCCGTCTCGGGATCCATTACGGCGCCGAGCGAGGTCAGGTTGCGGTCCCATCCGGCCTCGGGGTGCACGGTCCTCGCCGTCGGATCTGGCCCGTCCATCGAGTCGTCGTCGTCGTCGTCGTCGCTGCCCGGTGTCCTTGCCCGTTTTCGGGCTGGCTCCCTGCCGGCCTTTTTCTTGGCCTTGGGTCGCTTGCCCATGCCGGCAAAGGTCGGGTCGCCAGGTTTCCGCTCGAAGCGGATGATCTCCTTGACCACGGGCACGGGCGCCGAGTACCGCTCGTCGCCTAGCATCTGCGCGCGCAGGTCCTCGGCAGTCATGCCTGCTGGCAGGCTCGGTCGGCCGTAGACAATCCGCTCGCCGCGCCAGTAGTCGACGGGCTTGAATCGCTGCCTCGTCGATCTCCGCACGCCGTCGAGGTTGATGCTACCGGCCCGCTCGGACCGTCGATCGACCTTCTCCACCACCACCGTCTGCGAGTAAGCGGGCTGGCTTGAGGTTAGCCGCGCCTTGTCGACCCGGATGCGGTTTCCATGCTGCGGCTCTTCGGCGTCGGACCCAGCCTCCGACTCGTCCGAGTGCCGCTGCGTCGCCGCCTTTCGCTTCTTTGTGTTTGTGGCCGTCGTCGACGACTTCTTTGGCCGGCCGACTTTTGCCTTTGCCTTTGTCGGCTTTTGTGCAGCTGCAGCCTTTTCCGCCCTTCCTGCTGTAGTGCTTCTCAGTGCTGACGGGCCCACGTCGCGCTCGACCGACTCCACCTGCCGGTCAGAGAGGCTTGCGTCTGGGCTCGCTGGGTCGGCGAGCAGCTCGCTCTCCACCTCGGCGGACTCAGCCATGCCATCGGCACCCTCGTCGGAGTCGACGTAGGCCGGCCTCGTACTCTGCGGGGCGGCCTTCTTCTGACTGGCTGCTTTCCGCGCCGCGAGGCCGGCAGCCGGTGCTCGCCTTTTGTCAGAAGCCCGCGGAAGCACCACCTCCTCATCCTCCTCTTCCTCCGGCCCGCTCTCCATTGCAGCATACTCCTCGCCGCCCATGCCGCTGAAATCGAAAGCTCGGCTGCCGCCAGAGACGTCGGCGATCTCTTCGTCGTCCTGGTCGTCGCCGGCGTCGTCGTCGTAGCCGTTTGGGTCTGCGTTCCGGCTTGTTGCCACCGAAGGACGCGAACCGCCATTGGCGCGCGCCGCACCGATGCGGGATCTTGAAGTGGAGCCTGGGATCTCATCGTAGTTTACGTCGGACTCTGTCGCTGCCGCACGGTTGGATCCGTACGACCTGCGTATCGCGGAGCGAGGAGAGGGGGCCATGCTGCTCTCGAGGTCCATGCTGCTGCTGCCGATGCCCTTGCCGCTCGCGAGGCTCTGTCGGGCTCTGCCACCCCTGACGGTGGATCGAGTCAGGTCGCCGAGGGTGTCGCCGGCCCGGCTGTCTTCTACGTAGCTCTCCTCATCGTCGTTTTCGTCGGAGGCCTGTCCCTGGTCCATCGCCCGCTGGCTGGCCTTGTAGAAGTCATCGAGGTTTTCGAAGCCATCCTCGTCGCGCGCAACCGCAGAGAGGCGCAGGCCGGTGCGCGAGCCCACCCCGGCGCCATGGAAGCGCCGGGAAGCCTGGGAGGGTGGCATGTGATTGAATGAGGACCGCGAGCGCGATGTCTAGGTGGCCAGGGTTAATACCGGCGTGATTGTCGACGCGGTGAGAATCCAGGTGTCTACGAGGCGGGGTATCGATCGGTCTTGCGGTCCGGGTATATGAGCTGGAAGACAGCTTTGCTCTAGGTCGGGGGCGAAGGGTGATAGGAAAGAGTTCGGGATGGTCGGCGCAGGTGCTGAAGGGGTGAGAAGCAAGCAAGGTGGGATGCTTTGGATGCAGCTGCCGCCCTTTGCCTCGTTGTTGCCTGCTCCACATCCGCAAAACAACACGCCGCCGCCGCCGACGCTTTTTTTCCCGCAGTGAGGCGAGGCCAGGCCAGGTCAGGCGGATCCGGCGAGCGCGACGACCCGATCCACGTGAAGGGCTTCCCAGACTGGCAGGCCTAGGCCAGGCCAGGTCAGGCCGGCAAGAAGGGACATCGAGGGCCAGGCGGGCCCTCGGGATAAAGCCGCATTTCTTCGGCCTCTTTGCCGGCGCCCGCGCTGGGCCTGCCTGCCTGCCTGCAGCTGACGCCGGGGCCCCCGCACGCACGCGCAAAAGAGAGAGAGAGAGAGAGAGAGAGAGAGAGAGATAGAGAGAGAGGAGGGAGGAGAGAGGAGGACGGGAACGGGGCCGCCGCGCTCGCTGCGTTGGTTTCGGCCGCTGCCCGCATCCCTACGCACGGCGGCTGCGGCTGCTGTTGGACCGGACGAGCCGATATGGCCGCTAGTCCGGGGGGCGACGGCCGACAGCCTTGGGCCGAAGCCAGTCAGCCTGCTGCCTGCGCTCCTCGTCACAGCCACCCGGCCTGGACCTGGCCTGTTTCCCCACACTTCTCTCTACTGCCTCGGCGAGAAGAACGAGAAGTGACGAGACCGGCCCAGATACAGTTAGTACGCAGCTAGCCCGCCTCCCGGCCTTCGTTCAAACCACCACCATCGCATCCAACACCCCCCCGGCTCCACCCCATCATGTTGCAGTCGACCCTCTCGCTCTCGAGCCGCGCCTCGAGGTCCACCTTCGGCCTTGCCAGCCGGTCCCTCACCTCGTCGGCTTCGGCCAGGCTCGCCCAGCCCGCCACCGCCACCAGCTCCCACGCTGGCGGCGCTGCAGCGGCGCAGCTCAGCCCGCTCGCCCTCTCCAAGGCAAAGGATGTCGAGTCCAAGTGGAAGGGCGTCAGCATGTTTGGCGGCACCACAAAGAACTACGTCGACGGCCAGTTTGTCGACAGCAAGACGTCCCAGTGGCTCGACGTCAACGACCCCGTGGGTACACCTAGGATAATTTCCAGGTCGATTGCTGCATCGCCATCCTGACCACCCGCCCCTCGCCCGCCTGTACCTTTGCCCGCACAGTCGACCCAAGCCCTTCTATCCAAGGTGCCCCTGACGACCGCTTCCGAGTTCGATGCGGCTGTTGCCAACGCCGAGGCCGCCTTCCCCGCATGGAGGGAGACCAGCTTGCTGACCAGGCAGCAGGTCATGTTCAAGTGCGTGGTCGATTGACGAGTGCAACCTGCCTCTTCTCTTTGCGATTGCCGCTGACGCTTCCGCGCTTCGTCCCACGCCTTGATCCAACGCAGGCTGCAGGCGTTGCTGCGCGAGCACACGGACGACATTGCCAACGCCATCACCCTCGAGCAGGGCAAGACGTTTGCCGATGCCAAGGGAGACGTGCTGCGAGGACTGCAGGTCGTCGAGGTGGCATGCGGCATCACATCCACCATGCTCGAGGAGAGGATCGAGGTGGCCAAGGACATGGACACCTACGCTCGCCGGGAGCCGCTCGGCGTCGTCGCTTCGATCAACCCCTTCAACTTTCCCGCCATGATTCCGCTCTGGACGATTCCGATGGCCACCGTCACTGGCAACACGCTCGTCCTCAAGCCCTCGGAGCGCGTCCCCGGCGCCTCGATGATCATTGCCGAGCTCTGCGAGCGCGCCGGCCTCCCCAAGGGCGTCCTCAACGTCGTCAACGGCGCCGTCGACACTGTCAACGCAATCTGCGATGACCCGCGCATCAAGGCCATCAGCTTTGTCGGCTCCGACCGCGCCGGCGCCCACATCTTCCACCGCGGCACCGCCAACGGCAAGCGGGTCCAGGCCAACCTGGGAGCCAAGAACCACTGCATCCTCATGCCCGACGCTAACAAGAACTTTGCGCTCAACTCGCTCGCGGGAGCCGCGTTCGGCGCCGCCGGTCAGCGGTGCATGGCCCTCAGCGTCGTCGTCGCTGTCGGCGAGGCGCAGCAGTGGATCCCCGAGCTCGTCGAGCGAGCCAAGGACCTCAAGGTGTCTGGCGGCTTCGAGGAGGGCGCCGACCTCGGCCCGCTCATCAGCCCGCAGGCGCGCGAGCGCGTCATCGCCATGACGGGCAGCGTCGAAAAAGAGGGCGGCAAAATCCTCCTCGACGGCCGCAACTACAAGAGCACCGAGTACCCGAACGGCAACTTTGTCGGACCCTCGGTCGTCGAGGCCGGGCCCGGGATGACGGCCTACGACCAGGAGATCTTTGGACCCACGCTCGTCATCCTCAAGGCCAACACGCTCGACGAAGCCGTCGAGTACATCAACAAGAACAAGTACGGCAACGGCGCCGCCATCTTCACCACCAACGGCGCCACGGCCCGCAAGTTTGAGAAGACGGTCAACGCCGGCCAGCTCGGCGTCAACGTGCCCGTGCCCGTGCCGCTGCCCATGTTTGCCTGGAGCGGCAACAAGGGCAGCGTCCTCGGCGACATTGGCTTCTACGGCAAGAGCGCGCTCAACTTTTACACCAGCTACAAGACCAGCACGTCGTGAGTACCTCGGTCGGCCCTGGTCTTTGGCCGCAGCAGGACGCAACGGAAGTACTGACACGTTTGCCGCCTTCCCTTTCGTTCTTGCTCCTCTAGCATGTGGCGAAGTGCCGATGCCGAGATGTCGGAGAAGGCCAGCGTCAACATGCCCACCATGTCGTGAGGCTGGACGGCTTGCTGGTGTCCTCTATCCTGCCCCGTTGCGAAACCAGACTGTGTTCGATACAGCCTCGTAGAGTGTCAGTCCGACTCGGCGAGAAAAGCGTGGTATTACGAGGGCCATATAGAAGTACAACAGAGGGCATGCCGGCTTGACGCAGCATGAGACGGGTCCAGGAGCGACGGGAACGGGACAGGAAAGACAGGGACGAGGAGCGTGGAAGGGCTGAGCGAGACGACCGGGCTAGGACCGCCTCAGTCGGCAGCCTTCCATAGCTGATTGGCGAGGACAAAAGGCGAGATGCCCGACTGCTTGAGCTTGGGCTCCGATACCTCGATGGGGAGCGCGGCGTTGCGTTTGTCGGATCGCACGAGGATCGAGGTGAAGCCGGCGTCTGCGTCCATCTCGTCCTTCGCAGGGAGGAAGCCGAGGCCACGGAAGATCTTGAGGCAGAGGCTGTGAGGTGGGGACAGCATGGGTGAAGAAGGACGCTGGTGTCAGGAATGATTTGGCGCGCGCTGGGAACGACGACGACGAGGGAGGAGCGGTGTACGTACGCATCTCGGTCGAGTTCGCCCTCGGTCTCGACGTCCTCGTCCTGGACCTCGTCGTGGAGGCGCTTGACCTCGAGGAGCTCGCTCTGCAGCGCGCTCAGCCTGGCCTCCTGCTCGTTGATGCTCTTTGCCAGGTCAAACTTCTGATTGTCGAGCTTGGCCATGACTTCGCGGTGCGAGTGGAGCGAGCGCCAGTCGGTGGCGGCGCGCGTCGAGTTTTTGCGCAGCTCGTCGAGCGACGCCTGCAGCGTCGAGATCTTGTGCGACATCTCGGACGCCATCCCCGCCCGCCGCGTCGATGTCTCCGAGATGAGGTTCTCGATGTGCGAGAGCGTCGCCAGCTCCTCGTGCGGCTGGAGCGACGCTAGCAGCGAGGAAAAGTCGGCGTCGCTGCATCGGTGCGGGTGGAGCCGGGTTGGGTACAGGTCATCAGCATGCAGTGCTGATCGCTTCGCCGGCTACGAAGGAGCCGGAAGGAATGCAGCGTGGTCTACTCACGTCAGACGCGTATCGTCGTGTTTGGCCATGGCGGCCGCGGCTGGGCTCTCCTGTACCTCGACTGTCATGGCGAGTATGCGGGCGAGTCGCGGCCTGAACAAGGTTGGAAGTAGAAGGTGACGGGGCCGATGGGCGAGATCTCGGTGATGCGAACGAGCCGAGGGCGTAGAACGTCTCGATGCGATCAGGGAGTGGTGTGTTGCGGCGCGGTGATGGTGGCCGGATCCAGGCGCTGGCCAGGGTGATGGGGTGTTGGGTGTTGGTCTGCCGGCCCGCTGCCCAACATCCCCGCTCGCCCGCTGCCAGGAAATCCAGACGCGCCGACGGTGCGGGAATCGGAAATGGGCCCCGCTGCACGTGCAGCTGCCCGACCGAGGCCTGCAGCCCGCTGAGCCATTTGGCTGGTTGGCCAGGCCATCATCTCACCTCGCCTCACACCCCATTCCCTCTCCTCCTCCACCATCACCCACGACGACGACCGATCGCCCCTTCACACCGCCCTCCGTACACGTAGAATCGAGCGAAATGGCACCTCCTGGCGAACCGACGGCGGCAGGCGCAGCGGCCGCGGCGGCATCCACCATCCTGCCTCTGGAGCTCATTGACCGCTGCATCGGCTCCAGCATCTGGGTCATTATGAAGACCGACCGCGAGTTCAGCGGGACGCTGCTCGGCTTCGACGACTACGTCAGTGAGTATCGCGCGAGATCAATCTATCCGTGACCGTCATGGAAGAGAAAGGATGGGAGGCTCACACCAAGATGGCCCGGTATCCGGCATCTCGAAACAGACATGGTCCTCGAAGACGTGACGGAATAGTGAGTGCCCTCTCCCTCCTTCGTCATGAAATGTGTGCAAGCCATCAGATTCCTGACTTTAATGGATCGCATTTGCCCCTCGAATGTACTCTGCACCGACTCTATCGCAGCGAGACCACAACAGAAGGCCGCAAGAAGACCAAGCTCGGCCAGACGCTGCTCAACGGCAACAACATCTGCATGGTGAGCCGTCAGGCTAGGCTAGGCTCGGCAATCAGAGGGCCATCTTCGTGCCACGACACACAGGCTGACCTGTCTTGCGCCCCTTGACCCCGGCGATCGGACCGTTTACAGCTGGTGCCTGGCTCCGAGGGCCCCGACGCCTGATCGCCCTCTGCGCCAAGACGCTCATCCCCAACCTCGACCTCGAAAAACTGTACTTTTACGACGGCATACAACATCGCATCTCTGTCTGCGGTCTCTCACGCTCGGATCCCTGAGAGGTATCGCCCTGGGCCAGATCACAGGGTTTGAAGAATCTAAGCGGCGCTGACAATCATGCGCGCAGCTAGCGTCATTGACGCGGCACGGAGCTACGGTACGTGTACAGGGAGGCGAGCGAGACTCGCCTACTTCTTGGCCTTCTTGGCCTTCTTCTGCTTGGGCTCGCTGCTGCCATTGGCGGTGGCCGGGCGCTTCTTGAACTTGTCCACCAACGAGGCGAGCTCGGCATCGCCGCCACCGCTGCCGTCCTGCCTGCCGCCATCCACGCCGTTGGCGGCAGGGGACTTGCGCGCCGCCGACTCTTCTCCTTGGCGCCGGCTGTCCTGCCTCTTTCTCCTCTCGTCGAGCAGCTGCTTCATGGCGTTGGTCTTGACGAAGCCTGGGTGGCTCGGATCGATGGCGTAGCGGTGGTCGTCCATGAGGGCGGCGAAGCGCTCGTCCTTTGTGTCGATCTCGAAGCTGTCCTGGATCAGCGGCTTGCCCTTGCGCGCCTGGAACTCCTCCTCCTGCCGCTGCTTCTTCTTGGACAGCCGCTTGAGCAGCTTCTGCCGCTTGACGTCCTTGCCCGACTCGACGCGCAGGATGTCCTTCATGTCAAAGTGCTGCCGCCCCTCCTTGGTCCGCTCGTCGTCCTCGTCTTCGCCAATCAGCAGCGACAGCTCCGCACGCTGCCGCGCCGCCTCCTCGGGATCCTCGTCTGCGTCGCGCGACGCCTTCTTGCCCGCCGTCTTGTCCTTCTTCGACTTGGCCTTGGTCTTGGCGTTGCCAGGGCCCTCCATCTCAGCCTCGAGCGCCGCCTCCATGTCCATGTCGTTGTCGCTGGCAAAGAAGGGATCGTCGAAGCCGGCGTCGTCGACGGGCATCTTGGCCGCCGCTGCCTCGTCGTCGTCGTCGCTGCCGCCCTGCTCCTCGCCGTCCTTGCCGGCGAGCTTGGCCTTGCGCTTCTCCTTCCTCGCCTTGATCTTGCGCTTGTACTTGTCGAGCGTCGTCTCATCCTCGTCGTCCTCGTCGCCGCCCTTCTTCTGTCCCTTGCTCTTCCGCGCCGCCGCCTCCGAGAGACCAGGCATGAAAGTGATCTCCATGTCGCCCTGCTGGGGCGCGCCCTCGTCGTCCTCGTCGTCAAAGACGCCGCCGCCGCGCTTGCCCTTGTAGTCACCCGTGTCGTCGAGGTTGAAGAGCGCGCGGAACTTGTCCCGCTGCGCCTTGGCCGTCTCCTCGTCCTCGTCTTCGCCCTCGGACTCGGTCGCCGACGCCAGATAGGCCTTGAAGTCGTCGTCCCGCAGCTGCTCCTTTGTCAGGCCGCCGCGCGACACGAGGCGCGTCAGCTTGCTCCGCTCCGGATCGTCCTGATCCCACGTCAGCTTGACCTTGGAGTGGCGGAGCGCGTCCGTCATGAAGTCGACGCCCTTGTAGTTGCCGACGTCCTCGGTCGTCTCGTCGCGGAACTCGGCATCCCGGCCGTCCTCGCCGTCGGGGAACTCCATGCCGTCTGGCACGAAGCGCAGGTCAAAGACGTTGGCCGTACGCTCCATTTCGGTGCCGTCGATCTCGTTGTAGACGTGGCGTGCTGCCTCCTTGCTGTCGAACGTCGCGACGGCGTAGTAATATCTGCAGGGTGATGGCGATTGCAAGGGAGCAAGGTGGAACCATCAGCTTTCAGTCGCTGCCTGCTTGGCGCGGCACACACGCGCACGCGACAACTCACCTCAGCCGGTCAAGCTGGTACTTCCGCAGCGCCTCCTCGTCAAACTCGTTGCCCTCGTCGACCTGGATGATGGTCTTTTCGTTGATCTCCTCTTCCGAGTCCGAGCCGTCGCCGGCTGCGCTTCTCTTGTTCTTCTTCTTGAAGATGTCCTTTGGCGGCCCCTCGGCGTCCTCCTGCGCCATGCGCTCCTTTCCAAAGTCGCTCGGGTACACCCGGACCGACAGCACAGAGCCCCGCACCGTGTTGACCGCCGGACCGTGGGTGCCGACGCGCCGCTTCGCCTCGACGGGGTTCATCGAGACCAGGCTGGAAAAGACCTTGTAGAGATCCTTGGACCGCACGTGGTCCCAGTCCATGTTGACGATGGCGAGCCGGTGCGTGTCGTCGCCGCGCGGCACCTTGTCCTTCTTTGACTTTTTCGACTTGCTCTTCCCCTTCGCCTTGGCCGCCTTGGACGACTCTGCGGCCTCTCCGTCGTCGGCATCCGAGTCACCCTCGATGCCGCCCTCTGCGATGGCACGTTGTGCCTGTGCGTCGAGCTGAGCGTAGATGCTCTCGTCCTCGTCCTCGTTGAGATCAATCTCGCCGATATCATCACCGAAGTCGTCGTCATCCTCCTCGTCTTCATCGTCGCGGTATCGGCTGCCGGCTTTTTGCTTCCTTTTGGCCTTGTCCACGACGCTCGAGGGCCCGATCATGACATCGTCGTCTTCGTCGGAGTCCTCCTCGCTGCTCTCCTCGTCGGATTCGTCGTCGGATGCAGAGCTCGACTCCTCTTCGCTCGAACTCTCGAGCTCGCCCTCACCACGTGCGTAATCGACGACGCCCTGCTCCTTGTCTTCGTCGTCGTCGTCTTCGTCTGACGCTGCCGCCTCGCCGTCATCGACGCCCTCCTCGTCCAGGCGGTAGAACCGGCGCATCTGCTCGACCTCGCTCTGTCCCTTCTGCACCTTCCTTCCGTACTTGTCCGTCTTCCTGGCCGCTGCGCCGGACTTGGGGCCCTTCTTTTCCCCGTCGGCAGCGAGCAGACCCTTGAAACGGTCGTCGATCTTGACCTTGACATCGTCCTTCTTGGGCTTGAGGAAGCGCGGGTCGGTGTGGAGCCGGGCGAATCGCGGGTCGCTGGTGGCGGGTGCGCGCTGCGCCGCGCCGCCTCCGGACTGCTTCTTCTTGTCCTTCGCCATGGTGGGTGGACTCGACGCTGCTGTTGGGTGCGAGGTAGCGGTGATGTCGGTGGCGAGCGGGATCAAAGCGGACGGAAGGTGGCGGGGTCGAAGGGTGGAGCAAGGCCCCACGTCGGCCCCGCCTCGAACTTCCAAAATTTTCCAGCCGGCCTCGAGCGCGTGAGGCGCCCGATATCCGACTTCCGGCGCGCCCTCGCCTCTCGAACAACATTCAACTAAGGTCTGCGACCCCAAGCCACCCCAAGCTCTTTTCGTTCAAGACAACGTAATGGTTTTAAATGATGGTTTGAACAGTGCAGATAGGACTGCTGCAGATACGTGAGATGCGTGTATTGCTTGGAGAGAGAGAGAGAGAGGAAGAGAGAGAGAGAGAGAGAGATACGGGACGATGCACAGCCTAGCTAGAGATCCGAACCCAAAGAGAGCCCAGTTGCTCGTGAGGGACGACGAAAGGAGAGAAAGACGGAGAGGGCCCACGAGACGCTGGAGAGAGGAGTAAGAGGAGCCGAAGGATCAAGACCAGATGCCCAAGAATGTCGTTAGAAGGTGAAGGTATCGCGGGCGTCTGTGAGATGAGATGAGAGGCGAGGTTCGGGTATGATGATCGAGGGCAGAGGCCAAGGCGGCCGCGAATCAGAGGGGCCGGTCCATGAGCTTGTAGAAAGTAGTGACCAGCTTGCGCATCTGCGCCGACATGTCCTTGGGCAAACTGTAGTAGGTTGAAAAGGAAGCGGAAAGGACACGGGTCAGCATGCTGTGCAAAGGGGCGGCTTGCCATCGACGCAGCGAAGTTCTGCAAAACAGGAAGAGATCGACTGCACTCACTCCATCTTGCTCTTGCCGCTGCCGTAGGCGTCCGCCCGCAACTCGGCGTCGGTCTGGTCGCCGAGCCGGAGACCGACGTTGAGGACCTCGCTGAAGCCATCGCGCATGCTGTCCAGGTCCTCCTCTTCGCTGTCCGTCACCGACTCGGAAGAGGCCTCCCGGCTGCGGACATCGCCCGTCGAGGACGCGGACGACACTGCGGACTTTGCTTGGCGGTGACCGCGTTTTCGGCTCAGGTCCAGGTCCCTGAAGGCCATCTCCCACTTGCTGAAGTCGCGCTTCTCAACGGTCTTGCGCAGGATCCTGACGATGCCGCGATGGCGCGGGTCCGCCTCGATCTTCTGGTACACGCCGTCGACCTCGTGGGCCGGCCCCTCGAGGAACTGGACAAAGGAACCGTCGCGGTAGAGCAGCAACCCGGTGATGCCTCTCCGCGCGTTGTTACGCCTCGAGTGCTGTAGGATGTCGGAGATCTCCTCCCGAGATACATGCCGTGTGAGCGCCGAGGAGGTGTAGACGACCTGGAGAACAGGTTCGTGCACGGGGGACGCGGTGGTGCCGGCGTCGACGGATGACGCCGCCGTGGATTCGGTCTTGACTGACTCAGTCGAGGATTGCCGCGACGAACAAGAACCGGGCCTGCTGTGGCGGGACGACGAGGTGCGAGCAGATGAAGCTGAAACGACGCTACCCGAGCTCGGCATCGACGAGCTGGATCGTGTTGCGCTCGAGAGGGATGGTGGTGACTCATGGTGCACGGTTGGTCGCGATCGGAGGCCCGGCCTCGACGCCGTGCTGGTGTGAAGGACGTCCATCATCGAAAGCGGCGAGCTCAGGCGGCCACCCTGCCCCGAGATGCTGCGGTTAGGTATGTTGGAGTGGCGCAGATCAATGTCCACTGGTCGGTGCAAAAGCGGTCAACGACGAGCGGCGCTCTCAATGGCTGATCAGTCTGCCTTGTTTGTCGGTATCGTAAAGGCAACGAAAGGTTAAGGCAGCGAAGGTGTGGCGGTGCGGACGAGGGTAAGGAAGAAAAGGATGTAGGTACCGTAGGATGTTGGTGTTGCGAGGGAGAGATGGGAGGCCGAGGTCAAGGGACAGCTCAGTGGCGTTGCCGGTCAGGTCAGACCCAGTTCTGCCGAGCAGGGTCGAGCAGAGGCCAGGAGAGGGGGCGGGGAGAAAAGTTTGCCTGACGATGGTGAGGACGGGCAAGGCGGCCGGGCTCGACCTGTCAGCCCGTACCAGTACACGGCCCTCTTGTGCTTGCTTCGAAGCGGGAACGCATGGATGGAGGCGCGCGCCCCTGTACCGGTCCAGACCCGCAGGACGACAAAGCAGCGAGTCGACGGCATTTGGACGCTCCGCGCGCGGCAAGAAGCTCCGGGTCTGAAGGCGCCCGGTTGCCATCCGCGGACTCGTGTCATCCGGAGCCGCCGCTCAGGCCTTGAGTCAGGTTCAGAGCCGGACATGGCAGGCAAGCCTCGAAGCGCAAGGGCCGTCACGCTTTCGTTGGACCGGCAGGATCCTTAAAAGCCAAGTCCGGTATCTGCGGTGAGATCCCTTGCGGTCTCAGATTCTACCATCAGCAAAGTAGCCGTCCGGCGTTTGGATGCCAGAAAGGGCGGGTAAAGCTCACCGTAGGGCGAGGGGTTGTTGCCAAGAAGCAGGGCAGGGGCAAAGGTTGGCCGACGCCGCTGCGGGCAAAGGCCGCGAGGGATGCGTATGCAGCTTGCGATGGCCGTCGACTCGAGCGAGGTGGAGTTGTCACCGCGAATGACGGCTTCCACCGGGATCGGAGACGCAGGGTCTGCAGAAGCGCGTGCCGGACGGTGGACCCTGACGGCGGCCTCTTCCATCCGGACGATGCACGCCTAGCGCCGCGCGCGTCAAGGTCCGGCGTCCCGCTCCCGGGCAATCGGCAGGCTATTGCCCTCCCTCCACCGGACGCCACACCAGCGCTCCTCGACTTCCCCCGTGGCATCAGCGAAAGGGGTCCCGCGAGTGGATCATGAGCGAGGGAGCGATGGAGGACGGCGCTGAGTGGCTGAGCCTGACCAGGCCCGGCGAAGAAGCATCTGCGCTGGTGGAGAGTCGAAAAGGAAGACAGGCGAGCGGCTTGAGAGGGTCCCGCGGTCAGCCGGTGGGGCAGGGTCCGGCCTGCTGGCCTCGACGCCTGGCAGGCCAGGCCTGACAAGCGGCTGCCCGTGTTGCCACGAGCAGATTTATTTTTTTGACTTTCTCCGGATCCGAAGCGAGCCCCAATTTTGTCGGACGAGTGAAAGGGCAGCTGTACGCCCACGGGCCACGCTTGCCTGGCCAGGCCAGGGGAGGCTGCGTGTGCAGCCGAGAGCAACACCTCTGTGGGCCACGCACACCGGAAAGGGTCCTGGCCCAACGCACCATCATCATCCCCATCGTCATTCGCCACAAGCTTCTTCACGCCGGCCATACAGCTGCTGCGACGACAAGGCACGCTCTTTCCGACCAATAGCACCCTGCTTGACTGCAAGTGACGGCCAATCGACGAACGATGAACGCTCTTCAGGTGAGCATTGCGTAGCATCTCGACTCCGCCCCCAGCGCCGGTACCTAGCTGTTGCTGACCTCGACCTCTGCTCGTGCGTCGTGCCTCCATCGATAACAGACCCACTTCTGGGCCGTCCGCGACTACCTCTCGCCGGTACTGCGCGAGTCCAAGTTCAAGGAGCATGGCCGGATCACACCAGGTACGCGATCCGACCTGCTCGAAACCCGGCTGCGGCGCGCTACCTGACACGTCGACGTCCCTGTTCTCCTCTGCCGCGCGCCCAGACGAGTTTGTCGCCGCCGGAGACTTTCTCTCGTACAAGTTTCCGACCTGGCAATGGTGCAGCGGCGACAGCTCCAAGGCTCGAGAGTACCTGCCCAAGGACAAGCAGTTCCTCATCAGCCGCGGCGTGCCATCGCTCCGCAGGGTCAGCCAGATCGAAAAGGGAGCGGGCGTCGGCATGAATGACGACGACGAGAGGCTCATGAGCTTTGCTGCCGACGGAGACGAGGCGGGCGGCAAGGGCGGCGACGACGACCAGTGGGTGGCCACCCACTTCGACCAGGACGCCGGACCATCCGCTGGCAGGGCGGACATCGCCGACATCCCCGACATCGAGCAGGACCCATCGGCGCCCTCAAACCAGCTCACGGAGGGGCAAGAAGACGACCTTGCGGCCCGAGTGGCGGGCCTCGGTGTCGGCGGTGGCAGCGTCGGTGGCGCGAGCAGAGAGGCAGGTGGCCATGTGGGAGACATCAAGGACGAGATGCCCGACATCGGCGACATTCCCGACATGGACGACGAGATGGATGACATGGGCGCCGGCGTCGAGGAGGAGGACGACGCTGCCACCATGCAGACGGCCACGAAGGCATCGACCTCGGCTGCCGGCGTGGGTGCGGCGGCGGCCAGCGGCAGCGGCGACGGCGGCAAGCTGCTGTCGGTGCGCAAGTACGACTGCATCATCACCTACGACAAGTACTACCAGACGCCGCGGATGTGGCTCGTCGGCTACGACGAGCACGGCGTGCCGCTGAAGCCGTCGCAGATCTTTGAAGACGTCAGCTCCGACTACGCGCAGAAGACGGTCACCATCGAACCCTTCCCGCACGGCCACGCTGGACCGGACGGATCGGCGCCCGCATCTTCCGGCGGTGGTAGTGGCGCCGGCGTGGCGACGGCGAGCATCCACCCGTGCAAGCACGCCAGCGTCATGAAGAAGGTCATCGAGCGCATGAACGCCAGCGTCGTCGAGGAGCAGAGGAAGGCAAAGGAAGGGTCGTCGGCGACGGCAGGGGCAGGGGCGGGGACGGACAAGAAGAAGAAGAAGGGCTGGGGGCTTAGCGGGGCGGTGCGCAAGGTGACGGGGGGCACGTCGGCCGCACTCTCACCTTCGGCCTCGTCCAGCGGCGACACCGCGTCAGGGTCAGCACCCGGCCCGTCGACGTCGCCGGGTAACGGCGAAGGCGGCGACGAGGCGACGACCGAGGTCGAGGGCCTCCGCGTCGACCAGTACATGATCATCTTCCTCAAGTTCATGGCCAGCATCGTCCCCGCCATCGAAATCGACGCCACCCAGGCCGTCTAGACGGCGATTTCGGGGGAGGCGGTAGGCGGGTCAGGGGATGGGCTGGAATGGGGTTGAGAGGAGACGCCCCCGCATTGTGACGAACCACGTACGAACGATAACGAAACCTATCAACGATGAGACACGTCCCGCTTTCCTTCGTGCCTTGGGGCGCTACGCGACCGGCGATTCCAACGCTCGTGTCTGCCACGTGCAGCGGCGTGGGAGTATGGGAAGGAGCCGCGGTGATGGGCCTGACTCGGTCGAAACCCGTGGGTCGGAGAACGGACGCTGCGCAGCGCTACGCCTCACCGCTCTGTTGGCGCCTCTTGATCTCGTCGAGCTCGACCTTGAGGGCCTCCCTTTGCCTCCGCTTCTCCTCGCCCTGGGCCTTCATCCTCTCGATCTCCCTCTGCCTCTCGTCGTCCGGCATGCGCGCCTTTGCGTGCATGCGGTGCGTCTTGCCGCGCTCGTGCGACTTGCGGTCCAGGACGCGCACAAAGTGCGGCTCCTCGTCGCGCACCGTGCACACGGGACAGACGTACATCCGATTGGCCTGCATCGTCCTCTTTCCCTCCTCCTCCTC